CTGGATCAACATATGCAAATCAATAAACGTAACCTAACACATAAACAGAACCAACAACAAAAACCCCATGATTATCTCAATAGATGCAGTAAAGACCTTTGACAAAATTCAGGAGCCTTTCATGCTAAAAATTCTCAATGAACTAGGTACTGATGGAATGTATCTCCAAATAGTAAGAGGTATTTATGACAAACCCATAGTCAATATCATACTGAATGGGAAAAAACTGGAAGCATTCCCTTTGAAAATGAGCACAGGACAAGGATGCCTTCTCTCACCACTCCTATATAACATAGTGTTGCAAGTTCTGGCCAGGGCAATCAGGCAAGAGAAAGAAATACAGGACATTCAGTTTGGAAAAGAGGAAGTCAAATTGTCTCTGTTTGCAGATTACATGATTGTATATTTTGAAAATCCCATCGTCTCAGCCCAAAGTATCCTTAAGCTGATAAGCAACTTCTGCGAAGTCTCAGGATCAATCTGCCAAAATCACAAAATCAATGTGCCAAAATCACAAGCATTCCTATACAACAATAAATCAATGTGCCAAAATCACAAGCATTCCTATGCAACAATAACAAATAGAGAGCCAAATCATGAGTGAACTCCCATTCACAATTACTGAAAAGAGAATAAATACCTAAGAATCCAACTTACAAGATATGTGAAGGACCTCTTCAAGGAGAACTACAAACCACTGCTCAATGAAATAAAAGAGGATACAAACAAATGGAAGAACATTCCATGCTTATGGGTAGAACAATCAATATCATGAAAATGGCCATACTGCCCAAGGTAATTTATAGATTCAATGCTACCCCCATCAAGCTACCACTGACTTTCTTGACAGAATTGGAAAAAACTCCTTTAAATTTCATATGGAACCAAAAAAGAGCCCACATAGCCAAGACAATCCTAAGCAAAAAGAACAAAGCTGGAGGCATCACGCTACCTGACTTCAAACTATATTACAAGGTTACAGTAACCAAAACAGCATGGTACTGGTACCAAAACAGAGATATAGACCAATGGAACAGATCAGAGGCCTCAGAAATAACACCATACATCTACAACCATTTGATATTTGACAAACCTGCCAAAAATAAGCAATGGGGAAAAGATTCCCTATAAAATAAATGGTGCTGGGAAAACTGGCTAGCCATATGTAGAACACTGATTCCTTACACCATATACAAAAGTTAACTCAAGATGGATTAAAGATTTAAATGTAAGACCTAAAACCATAAAAACCCTAGAAGAAAACCTAGGCAATACCATTCAGGACATAGTCATGGGCAAAGAATTCATGATTAAAATGCAAAAAACAATGGCAACAAAAGTCAAAATAGGCAAATGGGATCTAATTAAACTGAAGAGCTTCTCCACAGCAAAAGAATCTATCAACAGAGTGAACAGTCAACCTACAGAATGGGAGAAAATTTTTGCAATCTACCCATCTGACAAAGGGCTAATATCCAGAATCTGCAAAGAACTTAAATAAATGTACAAGAAAAAACAAAACCCCACCAAAAAGTGGGCAAAGAATATAAACAGACACTTCTCAAAAGAAGACATTTATGCAGCCAACAAACATATGAAAAAATGCTCATCATCACTGGTCATCAGAGAAATGCAAATCAAAACCACAATGAGATATCATCTCACACCAGTTAAAATGGTGATCATTGAAAAGTCAGGAAACAACAGGTGCTGGAGAGGATGTGGAGAAATAGGAATGCTTTTACACTGTTGGTGGGAGTGAAATTAGTTCAACCATTGTGGAAGACAGTGTGGTGATTCCTCAAGGATCTAGAACTAGAAATACCATTTGACCCAGCAAGCCCATTATTGGGTATATACCCAAAGGATTATAAATCATGCCCATATAAAGACACATGCACATGTATATTTATTATGGCACTATTCACAATAGCAAAGACTTGGAACCAACCCAAATGTCCATCAATAATAGATTGGATAAAGAAAATGTGGCACATATATACCATGGAATACTATGCAGCCATAAAAAGGATGAGTTCATGTCCTTTGCAGGGACATGGATGAAGATGGAAACTATCATTCTCAGCAAAATATCACAAGGACAGAAAACCAAACACTGCATGTTCTCACTCATAAGTGTGAGTTGATCAATGAGAACACATGGACACAGGGAGGGGAGCATCACACACTGGGGCCTGTTGGGGGGTGGGGCCTGGGGGAGGGATAGTGTTAGGAGAAATACCTAATGTAAATGACGAGTTGATGGGTGCAGCAAACCAACATGGCACATGTATACCTATGTAACAAACCTACACTTTGTGTACTTGTACCCTAGAACTTAAAGTATAATAATAAAAAAATTAATATTTTATTCTCATGAAACTTTTACATCCTATAATGACAGGATCATCTGTGAATGCTTCTTTCAGCAGCTTTTGAGATATCATTGGTTTATAAAAATCATGTATATTTAAGATCTACAAGTTGCTGTTTTGATATATGTATATATAGTGAAATGACCATCATAATTTAGTTATTTAGCATATCTATCCCTTCACATAGTTACCATTTGTGTGTATGAATGTGTGTGTTGAGAAGATTTAAATTCTATTCTCTTAGCAAATTTCAAGTATACGATACAGTATTGTTGACTGTTGTCACCATGCTGTACATTAGATCTCCAAAACTCATTCATCATGCATTACTGAAATTTTGTACCCCTTGACCAATATATCTTCATTTTCCTCTCCCTCCAGTCCTTGGCAACTGCCATCCTACTCTGCTTCCATGAGTTTGACTCTTTAGATCCCACATACAATTCAGATTATGGTGTCTTTTTTTGTGTGTGTTTTAGATGGAGTCTCGCTCTGTCGCCCAGGCTGGAGTGCAATGATGTGATCTCGGCTCACTAAAACCTCTGCCTCTGGGGTTCAAGCAATTCTCCTGCCCCAGGCCCTCGAGTGGCTGGAACTACAGGCACCTACCACCAGGCCTGGCTAATTTTTGTATTTTTAATAGAGACGGGGTTTCACCGTATTGGCCACACTGGTCTCAAACTCCTGACCTTGTGATCTGCCCGCCTCAGCCTCCCAAAGTGCTGGAATTACAGGCGTGAGCCACAGTGCCCGGCCCAGATCATGGCGTCTTTTGTGTCTTGCTTACTTGGCTTAGCAAAACGTCTTCCAGCTCCATCCATATTAGCACAAATGGCAGAATTTCCTTCTTTTTCAGGCTAAATAATAATCCATTGAGTATGTGTGTATAACTTTTTCTTCATCCACTCATTTGCCAAAGGACATGTAGTTTGCATCTAGTTCTTGGCTGTTATGAATAATGCTGCAGTGAACACAGGGGTATAGATATCTTTTTGAGATCTTGTTTTCAATTCCTTTGGATAAATACGAAAAAATGGGATTACTGGATCATATGGTAGTTTAATTTTTTGAGGAACCTCCTTACTGGTTTCTACAATCTTTAAAGGCTTTTCTTGGAGCTAGAACACCAGCCTCAGCAATGAATGGTGTGGGAAGGCCTAAGTTAAGGGAGCAATCTGAACACGTGATCTTAGAAGAGTATTTTTGTGGCAAAAATCTGTTTTGAATGTACGACATTGTATTACATTTATGAAATCAATGGAAAGGCAATGGAATATCACACAAAACCCTTCAGATAATGAAGAACTCAGTAATTTAAGAGTACTTTTTGACCGGGTGCGGTAGCTCACGCCTGTAATCCCAGCACTTTGGGAGGCTGAGGCGGGCAGATCATGAGATCAAGAGATCAAGACCATCCTGACCAACATGGTGAAACCCCGTCTGTACTAAAAATAGAAAAATTAGCTGGGCGTGGTGGCACGCGCCGGTAGTCCCAGCTACTCGGGAGGCTGAGGCAGGAGAATCACTTGAACCTGGGAGACGGAGGTTGCAGTGAGCCGAGATTGTGCCACTGCACTCCAGTTTGGCAACAGAGCAAAACTCTGTGTCAAAAAAAAAAAAAAAAAAAAAAAAAAAAAAAAGGTACTGAAGGTAGTCAGGATTTTGAAGCTGGAAAGGAGCTAAGGTATTATCTATTTTAATCACCTCATTTTAAAGGTGAGAAAACTGAGGAGCAGGGAGAATAAGTAATTTGTATAATTTGCTAGTTTACCTAGACCTAAAGAAATTTATATAGCTAACCTGGGAAATCCAGAACTGAAACCCAAGTTTCTTAACAATGAATTCAGTATTATTTCCATTGTGCAGAATTAAAGTGTATTTAAATTGTATCAGTGATGCTTCTTTGCGTATTTATTCACTTTTTTTTTTTGGTAGGCTTTTTTGGTTTCAGAGCTGGAGGCAAGGTGGTTTAGTGACTTATTCCTTCTTAGCACCTATGCTATGATTGGCTGTGTAGTTACTCACATTGCTCATCTTTTAAAAGTGGACGGTACTGCAGAAAAACGCCTGTGATTTCGTGAACTACAGAAGCATCTGACTCTGACTAAATTTACGCTTCTTGGTAACAATAAAATATAATGACTCACAGAATAAATAATTCAGTGGTAAACCAATTAGTGAATCACTGGAAAGACAGAAAAAACTTTGCATCTGCAGGAGGGTAAAATAAGTCTATTTTAAGCCACTTTTCAAAATCAAGAGAAAATACGCATATTTTAAAATAATTCCAAGAGGGAAAAATCATTTTTGAATGTTTTCTTCCTTCAGGAATACAAGACTTGAAATTTCTAATTTGTTCCCTTTTAACTATAAAATGGAACAGATAAACTTTTACACTTGTAAATATGATGAGCTTCTGATTATGGATGTTGAATCTGGATTCTTTTAATATTTTGAAGTGATAGGAAGGTAATATCCAATGAGGGTATTAAATTGTCTACACTTTCCAGGAAAACTATGGAAAATACAAATATTATATATTCTCACCATATACCAACTTTAGGACTTTTGAAATTTGTACTGGAAAATATATTTATTTTGTCTTTGAAAAAGATAATGTAAGTCTTTAGTTGACATTTGGCTTTATTGATTTCCAAGACCATGATGAGTTCACATTGTAAGGAAAAACATCTCAAAATATAGAAACCACATTTTATATCCTTATAGCAATGTAAATGCAAGAGCAAATTAAGAAATTGATATTTTTTTAACAGCTTGGAATCATCAGAAATATTTTACATGTAGAAGATTCATGTGATAAAGAAGTTTGTTTATGAACATAATAGTAGGAAAATTTTACAGATAAAATGTCTCTGAAGAACATCTTTTTGATTTTCTCGTGGTATAATACAATTGATTGTACTGTGAGTAGCATTCGTCTATAAATTCAAGTTATTTAGAGTACTCTATAGAACATATTTATGCTAGAAACACAATTCATAGAACAACAATTTTTAAAGAACTAATTTGTAAATTATGACACCAAATTTTATTAACAAGGAAATATCCATTAATTGACTACTACAGTAAAAATTTTATAACGCTTGTGTCATGAAGAAAAACCTTCCTTTTCCTTATATATTAGTTGAACTACATAGGTATGCTGTAAATGTTGTTATTCATGTTATAAGAATTCTAGATTCCATTGCTTTTGAGATATGTTTCTTTTTAGGAACTAAAAATCAATTTAGAGTTTGATTTCTGTTTTATTTATACTGTGTTCCTGATTTTGTGGGTTTCTAAATAAAAAGATCAAACCCACTACTTTCAATATACCATTTTCTATGTACATGTTTGAGTTATAGTCAGAAACTGTTATTGGACTGCATAGTTTTCAAAAGTTTTTGGTACATTTCTGACTTTAGAAATCTGGGATAGGAATCCCTTTCCATATGCATATAGACTATTTTCTGAGCTTCTTCAAAACATGTTTCAGTGGGTTCCTGAATGTTCTTGATGATAGTCTGTCTTGTCGAATTGTCAATGTTAATCTGAAAAGTGAAATTACATGTACAGCGTCAGTAAGCATAGTTGAAAAAAAGGCACATATAATAGAAAGGTTTAATTTATTCCCTGCTCTCCTTTTCAGTGGAATAGGGTAATTTTCTTTGTAGTTTTATAGGCATCTAAGAAGATGTATAAAAAATAAACATTTTGCTTTTTTAAAAGTAAATATCCAACTCCACATCCAAGAGGAACAAAAAAGAAAAATACGAGGCTCCAGGCCAGGGAAGTCTCTGAAACCACGGCTTACTCAGCAGGACGCAGTGGTTTCTTAGTAGCAGTCTACAAACCAGGGAGTTTGTAAGACAAACGTCTCTTTTTAAAGAAAAGAGAAATTGGTGCTTTTTAAAAAATTTATCTCCCTTAATAGTCACAAATGTTGCTTTAACTGAATATGCTCTGAAATGGGAAGGAAATGAAGAGAAGTGGATAAATAGAGGGGAGAAGTGGCTATTTCAATAAACCAGGTATTTTCCAGACAAGAGTTCTGGGGAATATGTCAACAATGTAGGCTTGCCCTGTGCGATAGAAATCTCATATACTGTCCTCTCTCTTTGTTCCCTTGACAGGACTTTTTATGTCTCACTGCCCAACAACACAGGATTCTCACATGTCTCTTCATGGAATTTATAGTTCCTGCTGGGAAGGCCAATACTTTTGCCATAGACTCCTTTTTTCTTCTTAAGTTGCCTAGAAATTAAGATAATTTAATGGGGAGAAGCTTTGGAGCCTGATAGGTCTAATTTTGAATCTTAACTTTACCACTTTTAATGGCTGTGTGACACTGGACAAGTTCTCAGAGTCTCAGGTTTCTTATCTGTAAAATAAGGTTAGCAATACTGAATTTATAGCATTTTAGGAGACACTGGATATAAAGTGCCCGGCACTTATGGATGCTAATATCCATATTAGTGCCCTTGCAGGGATGAACTGATTTCCATTCCTGTCATTGTGAGGTAGTTACCTCTCTAGGGGACTGTGGCTGGATGTAAATCTTATAGAGCTTCTTTGCCCTAGAAGTTCTGCTCCACCGCGAGGCAATCTTCTTATAGGTTTCACAGGCCATCCAGAATTGAATATTTTCGTCACTGTGCTCCATTTTTAAATATGCTGCATAGACTACTGGACCATCTAAAAGTAGAGGAGAAATCAGTTTATTTTCATGGGTCAAAATCACCAAAAAAAATCTAAGCAATACGGTTAAAACAAAGCCTGATTAAAAACTCACAAATTATTTAACAGGTAAATATTTTATATCTATCTCTATATATCAATTTTCATGTCTATCACACACTCAGAGCTAACATCTGAAGCATGCTTTGACAATGCTGATCACTGGTGAGGTCATCCCTTTATTCTGAGTCACTCAGAGCAAAACACCCACCAGTGTGGATGAGTCTAGGACGGATAGGACAGGAGACATCAGAGAGCCCAGGAAAAGGACTTAAGCTGCTCAGGAGGACAGGGCTCTAATCATGAAGCTGACATGAAAAATCTAAGACCTCATGCCAAACTATAGAGTAAGAGCAGGGTTTCAAATGTAAACTTGTAGGTCAAGGTCGGGAGAAAAATATCCAAGCCATGTAAAAGTGATACCCTAATTAGTTTGTATACCCTGGAGTGTTTTTCAATGTCCAATCAGAGCAGAACACAGATAGATGAAAAATTCAACTTCATATTCATGGTTTATGGTTCAAGCCAGAAATAAGGGAGCAGACAAGGAATGAAAAATCAGATGTGATGCTGGAAACGATCTCAGAATCTAGTACAGGACAGGGATTACGTGCAGCGTAACCATCACATGACACTTGATGCCAGAGATTCTTATCTTCAGCTCTGATCTTAAATTGCCTTTCTGGAGTGCGGAGATAAGTATAAGCCTAGGAGGAGCTTTTCCAATTAAGACACTACTTTGTAGGTGCTAGTATTTGAAGAAGAGGATTAGGTGAGCTCTCACAAATCTAACATATTCATTGGAATCTTTGGGAGGACCAAGTATTCTCAAGGTTCAAGATATTAATTATTTTTGGCTAGACTAGCCTGGAAAGTGTCTTGGTGTATCCAAGGAATTGGATTGCTATATGATAAAACAACAATGTAACTTTCAATTTATGTTAATAGAAATGTTTGTGTAGGCACACTGAGTAATAACCACTTAGAGACTGTTAGCGTAGGATATTTTGTTTACAAAAAGATGTACATAATTTAAAACAACTTGATGAATTTGGAGATAAGTATACACCCAAGAAACTATCACCACAATCAATGCCATAAGCATATCTATCACCTCCAAAAGCATAGGATTTTGATTAACACTATCTTGGTCAGTATCATTTACTGTTATGAGAAATAATGGTAGCCAGATGGAATGGAAATGATGAGTAAGATCATATTTTCCTGGATCTTCATCTAAGAGATCAGATCAAGTTTCCTAGCACTAGAAAGCCAGGCTTCTTGAGAGCTTGGCTTTGTTAGCAGTGATATACGAACAAAGATAATGAAGTATTTTGTCTTCAAGCAAAAGAACTCAAATAGAAGTAGATCTATTCTAAGGAGGCATTGGAGTTGGGGAAAGCTGAATATCAATATTACATTCTAGGAATACTCAAAATTGGAACATGGATTATTATTATCACGTGAGCAAATACAGCCTTCAGGACATTGCATGTGAGATGGTTCAACAAGGACATAACGTGAGATGAGTTAAGAGGACAGATGAGATGGAGGCATTATATAACTGTAACATAGAAAATGGTATAGATTAAATATTCCTATCCAATGTGAGGGGGATATATTTTAACTTAGATTTCAAACAAGCAGTTGATTTTCACACCGAAGGGACTGTAAGTTGTGTCTTGTCTCACCATAGGCACAAAAAGGTGGGAACAGAGAACATAGATGCAGGAATTGGTAATCCAATTCCTAAAAAGATAGCTGAATGGTGGCAAACCAAAAAACAAACAAACCAATGAACAAATAACAACAACAACAAAAAGAACAAAAAGCTGTTTCTGGCTTAACAAGTAAAGTTGGAAGCCAATATTTATATGGTTTGTACTTAGCTATGGAAGAGAAAGAAAATGAGATACCAGATAAAAATCTGTGGATCATGGAATGAGAGTCAGTCACACAGGCTACTTGGATGGGTTGAGTGGATGAGTAGGTAGAGGTAGGAAAATGATCTGGAAACCAATATTAGATTCCAAGTTAGTATTTTGAATTTGTGTTTATGTTTAGCTTAATTGTATAGTAAAGTTTATAGGTTATCACTTTAGAACCAACTGTATCTGTATCTGACTTCTTTACCTTTCTTCCTGATGGATTGGAAGACGTATCCCTGATTCTTTTTGGGCTGGCCAAATGGTTCTACAATTCTTGTCATACCAAAGTCCTTTGCTAATGAAGCCATATATACATTGCCCTATCTATCTATCTATCTATCTATCTATCTATCTATCTATCTATCTATCATCTATCTTTTTTTCTGTCTTCATGATCTGTTTCCTCTATCTATCTCTCTGCACATAAATACACATATTATAGATCCCAAGTTGTAGTATTCTATATATACTGCATGGATATACGGTATTCTATATATACTGCATAGATATACACTATTCTATATATACTATTAAAAATATGATATATTTCAGATACTTGATGTGGCAAATTGTAATATTGTTCCTCAGTTATTTCCTGACCTTTGTGTAGGGGGATTATACTTCCATGTCCTGTTTATATCAGCGTCGGCCATTGAACTTGTGTTAGTCATGAAATACATGCAGAAGTGCCATGGACACGTTCAAGCAGAAGGTTTAAAAACTATCATATGGTTCTATTTCCCATGCCCCACAGCCACCACAGGAAGAGCATATTCTAGAAAAGAGCTGCTCCTTTAGCCCGAAAGCTGGAGTGAAGACATGGAATAGAGTGGAGCTGACCCTAGCTGTTGTGTATCATGAAAAAAATGAACCTTTATTATTGTAAATCACTAAGATTTTCTGTCACTTGTTACCGTGCGGTGACTAGTGAAAGCTAAACTGGACTACTTGAGCCTGTCTGACATTTCTGATATAATTCTAGTGTACAGAATGAGTGGACTCACGTCATTGGCATACTTTACAGAATTCTGTCTTCATCAGGCTAATTTTTGTCTGAATATACTGCGAGTTACTCAAGCTAGCAGCTGAAAATGCATTTGTGTAAAAGTGCTCCAGGAATCTTAGTAATTATTGAAGTCAGAACTGAATTGCTCTCTTTAGAATTTCCATTGATTCATACCACAAGTGAATTACAAGGTGGAAAAGCCTTTTCTAAATCGGGCAGTGTAGGCTGTTCCGAAGTTTTAAATGATACTCATTCCTGAACATTATGCTCAGGAGACTGCGATTCTACTTGAGCAGAGTGAATAAGCGAGAAACAACAGAATTGCTCATTTAAATTGGGAGGGTGGAAGAAATGGCTTATGTCATACATAGTGTATACTTTTTCCTTAAAAAGTGAGAGTGGTGCCTTTGGGAATCTCTAGACTGTTCTTTTAAAACTAGTCACTAAAATTAGTATTTCTATGACACACAAGGTGACACATGCCAGTGTTCTTGATGCAGAAGGGAAATGTGGGCTTTCTCATGGCTGAGTCAGAACAGTGGCCCATCTATTCCAGAATTATTTTTTCTGTAAGACTGCAAGGCTTACACCAGGCAGGAAATCCCAAGGGTGTACTATGTTGCAGTACCATTAGAAATGCCTCTAAGCCAATTTAAAATTCATTTTATTTTCAATCTCTACCACTGGGGATAATGCATTTCATAATTCTACCATAATATGTGTGGAGTTTTACACTGAAGCTTCAGTTTTATTAAAATTCTCTGTTGTGACTTCTATGCTGTTAATAATTTCTGATTTTTCTTCTACCTTTGTTATTAATATTAATATTATTAATATGAACACAGCTTAAAGAGCTGTGGGTCGTTTTTAATGCAGAAAACTTCTAGTAAAGTAATAACCACTGTTAACCATTTGATATATTTCCTTTTATTCTTTTAATCCTTTGTTCATGAATAATTGCCTACCTAACTAGAATTCATTCATCTACACAAACACAAATACACACTGGAATCATCTTATGGGCATTATAATATGAAAGCAATTTTGTATCATTCTTATTCTTTCATAGTTAATAGTACATAGCAAACACTTTCTCCTTTTCATTTTTAGTGATCATATAATAGTATGTTGATGGGATAGGCCATAATATATTTAGCCACTCTATTATTATTGTTTTAGATTGTTTCCCCTTTTCTTGGTTATAAGTTATCCTACATTGAATATTTTAGCTTATAAACCTTTTCACCTCCATTTTCTTAGGAAAAATAATTGATTTAAAATAGTAGAATTTTTAGACTGAAGATGTAATATTTTTGGAGACTCTTGATACATATTGTAAAATTGCTTTCAGAAGGATTTCATTATTTTTCATTCCCAATGGCAGTGTCAGTGTTGACTTACTCCACCCTCTCCAATCTAATGGGGTGAAGTCAGTAACTTGTAATTGTTTAAATATGTATTTTTAAAATATAATGCTTAAACAGTTTTGCATTTTTACTGACCATTTCTTTTTTTCCTCTGAATTCCAAATCTTTTGTCTATTTTTTCTTTGCATTGCTAGTGTTTTCTTAAAATTTTCACATCTCTTTATATACTGAGGACACTATCTCTGTTACATTTATTGCATTACCTTCTGTTCTCTTTTACGTATTATTTTTGTTTATGAATTTTGAGGTATATTTGTAAACCATCAAATCTGAAGAAGCCTCGATTCATCTATCTGATCCTGCTTTCAATTTCCTCTATGCTTTTATTAGAGAAAAATCTTTAAAACAAAAATCTAGCCACAGCCCTTTATTTATTCCCCTCAACATTTCCCATTGCCCCAGTGACAAAGGCCAGCCCTCTTTGCTGTGGTTTCCTTCCATTATCCTTTCATTCACCTGAGAACTCTTAGGGGATCAGGAGTGCAGCTTATTCATCTTCGTGTAACCCTTGCCTCAACACTGCTTGCTATATAGCAGACACTGAATAAGCACATGTCAATTTGGACTTTTGAATCCCTCATATTTCTGTGTCTTAAA